AGGGGTCCCCACTTTCCATCCTTGGTTATCAGGATTCTCTCCAGCTAGTCTTCAGTTGATTATTCAGGATGGGTGCTTGTTTTTTTGTGTTTTTTTTTTTTTTTTGTATTTTAGTTGTAATCCCAGTTTGGTCCTGGAAGCATATTAGTGTAGCATCCCTTACTCCAAGCCATTTGTAATCTCTCAAAATATATTTTTATTGATTTCAGAGAGGAAAGGATAGGGAGATAGGAATATCAATGATGAGAATCATTGATCAGTTGACGTCTACATAACCCACACTGGAGATCAAGCCCATGGCCTGAGCATGTGCTTTTACTCTCAGTCACGGAGCCACACTGCCCAGGCTAGCCACTTCCTTTTCTCTCCTGGCTCTGTGCTTCCATGGGTTTTCTTTTCCTTAGTGTTTCTATTAAGTGGTATTCCATACATTTTCTGATTCATTATGCGTCTCTCCTTTGGGGTTTTGTGTGGTTACCATTAGTTTTTTTTTTTTTTAATTTTGATATACAGTGGGTTTTTTTGAATGCATGCAATCTTCACTTTTCTTTGCAAGCTCAGAACTTTATCTCCCACTTTTGTTTTGTCAGAAATTAACCCTAACTATGCTGGATGTCTGTAAACCTCCTTGAGCATTACCTGCAATGGAGGTTTTCTGGTGGCGAATTGCCTAAGCTTCTTTGTGTCTAGAGGTCTTTATTTCTCCTTCATATCTAAAGTATAACTTTGCTGGATATCTTATCCTTAGTTTGGTAATTTCTCTTTCAGTAGTTTGAATATTTGGCCCCACTCTCTTCTAGCTTGTAGGGTTTCTGCTGTGAAGTCTAGTGATAACCTAATAGGATTTATTTTATAGGTAGTTCTATTTCCTGGCAGTCTTGAGAATTTTTGTCATTATTTTATTTATTGATTTGAGAGAGGAAGGGGAGGGGGAGATATTGATTTCTTGTTCCATTTATTGGTTGCTTCTTGTATGTGCCCAGACTGGAGACCAAAGTCACAAACTTGGTGTATTGAGACAACACTCTAACCAACTGTTCAACCTGGCCACGACCTCATCATTGGTGACAGTATTAATACAATGTGCCTTGGAGAAGGCCTTTTGGACTGAGGTAACTAGGTGTTCTGTTTGCTTCTTGGATTCAAGACCTAGCTCTTTCCATAGGTTTGGGAAGTTCTCAACTGTTTGATAAGCTCTATTTCCTATGCCTACTAGTTCACTTTTTTCTTTTATTGAATCCTTCATCTCCAAGATTTGTCTGGTTCTTTTTAAAAGTTGTAATGTTTGGTAAAGTACTAATTTAGTTCATTGACTTTGAGTTCATAACTGCCTGTTTTCTTGTATCTTGTTTCTGAGGACTGAAATCTTGAATTCTCTGTCATTTAAATCAGTGGTCACCAACCGGTGGTCTGTGAGGTCCAAAAGGTTGGCGACCGCTGACTTAGATCACCTATTCCCATGATTTTATTTTTGGGATAATTTTTATTTTGTTCCTGGGCTGCCATGTTATCTTGGTTGTTCATGGTATTTGATGGATTCCTCGTC